CTGACTGCACAGAATCAAACCAGCCCAGGGAACACTGAGGAAATCCCACCTACAATATCTAACTGAACAGGTTAAACCCAGCCCAGGGAACACTCAGGAAATCTCACCTGCAATATCTGACTGAACAGGTTAAACCCAGACCTGGTAACACTGAGGAAATCCCACCTGAAATATCTGACTGCACAGGTTAAACCCAGCCCAGGGAACACTCAGGAAATCCCACCTACAGTGTCTGACTCAACAGGTTAAAACCAGCACCTTCTAACTTTCCACCCCCACACAGACCCAACCCGACCCCCTGAGAAAAGCATTGATAAGCTCAATTATTTACTGATTTTAGTAATTCCCATGAATATTATTAATTTGTCAGTGCCTATAAAGGGGAGGGAAGTCTCTCTCAAGTAGTTCTGTGTTATACAAGTTTATTATTACACTTAGGCCTGGCCTTTCTGGCCGTTGTCACTTATTTTTTTGTGTGGAAAATGAGGCATCTTCAGGAAACAAAATGTGATTTAAAGGGTGGCTGCAGTCGGTGGTGTCCGGGCTCCCTCTCCTGGCTCTTCCTTTGCCATGAAACGTTCCTGCTTTGCAGCTTTTCCTGCTGATTCCCGGCTCTCTCCCTGTGTAGTTTAATCCCCCACCGGGGTAGAACTGGGCTTAAATGTTTAAATATCCCAAATTAGGCCGACCCGGGGGAGCAGCAGCAGAGCTTTGCCTGGGGCTGGACGTGGCTGCTCCCAAAGCCAGGGAATTCCTGCCCTCTGCCCACCCACAGGCTTTTCTACCTAATAATTGGGCTTTTTTGGAGCCTTTTTGTTTCAAACCTCTTGTTCTGTCTTATGGAAGACAGAGCCTTTTTCTTAACAGTTCATAACATAAACCTCATGTTTCTTGTCTCTTTTACAAAGACACCCCGACTGCACCAGAAAATGTGTGAAATGCTCAGTGTTTTCTATATTTTAGATACCAAAACTTCCCCCAAAGCTCCAAGGCAGTGCCTGAATTGCCCTGTGATTTTTTTCTCTTCACATTTAAATTAGAGAAGTCTCCATAAACATAAGGCACTTAGTCTAAAAATAAGGCACATTCCTGTTCCTCCTGGTTCCCTCCTCACCCTGAGCTAATTGGTGGATGTTTTACTGTCCCGAGGTTTTATTAATGAGCAATATTTCACTCAGAGCTAATTAAAATCTCCAGGCAGACTCCACTTAGCAATAGAGATGTCGAGTAGGAAGAGAGCAGGTGAGCAGAAAGCCTAATAACCATCATTATTTCCTAGGGAAGGAGGGATAAGGGGCAATAAAGCCCCCACATTAGAGACTCATAAATACAAAACGCTGCAGAAAGTTGCCAGATACGTTGAGTCACAAAATAATTCACTGGTGCTGCTTTAAAAACCTGGTTTTAAAGATGTTATTCAGCAAAAGACACCGAGATCCCGGTCTCAGGACGTTGCTGCTCTGCTGGGACAGGAGGATCAGAAGATTTGGGGGCTTCAAATTCTGTTTAAGCCACATAAAATTATGGACATTTGTGCCAATACATCACAAAATCGATGGCATTTCTGACCACTCTGTGAGGGTTTGTCCTGAGGCAGTTGAATTTTACCGCAAGAAAACTCAACAGGTTCAGTAATTAACTCTCTCCATGTTAATTGGCTCCCAATTAACCTGCCAGAAACATTATAGATGTCAGGGTCACGTTTAAAAATATACACCCTGTTGCTTTAATCCGTTGTGGAATCACAGCCTATGGCAAGATGTAGCTCAGTGAGACCTGAATCATCACCCAGAATTATTCATTCAAAAATTCAAAATTCAAATTTAACAGCAATTAACCAATTCCTTAAAATATACAGACTTTCCAAAGGTGACCTTGGAAATGCACCTTCGGGAACGTGCTGCTGAAATTCCCGAGGATGTGGTAAAACAGAGCAGCATTCCAGCTGTTCCTGCAGATCACAGATATCACTCTCTCACGCTCATTTGAACACTGACTTGATTTTCATTGGGCTCCTGTGCCTCATTTTTCCCCTCCCAGTGAAAAATGTTGCTCCTTCCAAGAAGCTCCAGCACCTCCTCACATCCCCACCTGGCATCCCGTGTTAGAGCTCATTAGGCTGATGTTTTTAAGTTGTTTTAAATAATGTGATTCTCTCCTCAGAGCCGAGCAGGATGAAGTATTTGCTTTAAAAGGGAAAATTAAATCACGGAAAATAATAATTTACTGCACTTGCTCTGACAGGCAAGACATCAATTTGCTGTTGTTCAGCTCGTGCTGTGATGGGCTTGGAAGTCGCCTTCTCCTCCCAAAACAACAAATGAGTTTTGATTTCTCTTCATTAAAGGCATCATTAATTCCTCCTCCTGGTTTCTGTTTGTTTTCCCTGCCATTCTCTCTGGTTCCTGTAAATTTAACTCAGGCAGTGCATCCATCACGTTTGTGTAACCAGCACTTGGAAATGGGAAGTTTTCCAGGGATTCTCCCTCCTGCACCGTCCTGGGAGAGGGATGGGGCTGTTTGCTACAACTTTTCAGTGGTGCTCAAAGAGCTGGAATAATTTGGAATTCAGCCTGAGCAGGGAGGCTCTGGGTGGATTTCCAGTGTTCCAAGAAACCAGGTCTTTCCCACTTTATCCACAATTTGGATTCCTTTTTTTTTTTTTTTTCAGCAATGGAAACAACTGCAGCCTGGCAGGGCTGTGTTTTAGGAGAGCTATGGCTTTGTTGTAATGGGATTAAATGTGGTCCAGGACAGAACCATCTTTAACTCATTGGAATTTCAGCTTTTAAAGATGTTTTGTGCCCCTCAATCTGCTGTTCACTAAGTCCAAGCTGCTGCTGAATTGGAGAATAGGAGGATTTCCCTCTGGAACTTTGCAGCTTCAGAGAATTCCCATTCAAAATGCAATATTTTACCCCAATTCACCCTGTTGAGTCCACAAATATACAACAGTGGAAACAACCACAGGTCCAGTGCTGGTTGCATTGTGTCCTCTATCTGTAAGAATTTTACTGTTGAAGACATTTGACTTACTTTTTCTATTATTAAAAACACAAACAAACCAACACACTTGGCTTTCTCTGGTGTCTTCTTTTGGCTTTTTCTGCAGCTGAAAGGACTCACAGCTTCTTTTGGAGTAAAAATGTGTTATGATTGAATGGAACTTTATTAAATTATTATGAAAATTTTTAATATTATGAAATTTTTAATATTATGAATTTTTTAATATTATGAAGATATTAATATTATGAAGATATTAGTATTATGAAATTATTAATGCTATTAAAATACATAGTATTTATACATCATATTTGGGAAGCTGAAGGAGGGAAGGAAAAGGCTGGTGAGGGGCAAACAGGGCACACACTCATGGGCAAAACCTTCTGGCTCTAAATGGGAGTGTGGCAGCTCAGGTGAGCTTTTGCAGGCTTGCATTGCTCTTTCTTTGCTCCTTCATTGCTCTTTCATTCCTCTTTCATCTCTGTGGCTTTTCCTCCAGCTCTGGGGGTTGTTTTCTGTCTCAGGGAGTGAGCACTGAACACCCTCCCCGATGGGATGGTTTCTAAAGGTGAATAAGTAGCAGCAGCACATTGAGAATTGTGGCAGAGGGTAAGGAGCCCTTGTGCTGCCTCCACCTCCTCCTCGGGTGAATTTAGGGCCTTTTTCCCAGCAGCTGCAGCCTGTGAGTGTGTCTGGCACTGCTGCACAACCCCCAAACCCCTGCTCTCCCCCAGGCCATGGTTTCCCTGCCCAGCTGGGGTGATGAGCCTTTATCTCCTCACAAGAACTCTCTGCGACCTCACATTTGTGGAGTTCTTTGTAACAAGAAGCTTTGATGAATTATATCACTATTTTATCCGTGGGACTGACACTCTCTCCAGCTGCACCATGAAGGACAAACAGTGTGTTTGGAGGTTGCAGGAGCGTCCTCAGCTGTCACCTCAGCCCTGGGGATTTTTCTTTACATCCCCTGTGCTCCGACCCTGAACAAGCCTTTCCTTTTGCTTCCCTCTCAGACTGCTTTAGTGGTTGCCCTCATTCTCTTTAATCACTGGGTTTGATGTCCAGTTTATCTTCCCAAAATACAGCAGCCCTGACTGCATCAGATTCCCTCCTCAATCCTCTGATCACTCCAGACTAGAGGCAGATAAACTATCTCATGTAGCCTTTGACGTCCTCCCAGCAGCAGCTGAATGCCATAAAAGATCCATCACACTTTCCTTGGTGTCAAAAAGGTTTTGTTACTGAACATTTGGGAGGCTGAAGGTCACTCCAAATCACAATATTGTTCATTTCATAAGCCCATTTGATCCTGTCAGCTGGTGTTACTTGCTAAAGTTGTTCCTGAGGAGTCCCCAGCATTTATCAACTTCTCAGCCTTCAGCCCCTTTGCACCCTGGGCTTTAAGCACTGATTGATTCATTGAATGTCTCCAAAGTCAAGTCATTTATCTTTTCCACTGTATTTTATTGTCTCTGTTCCCCCTGACTTACCAACCTCCAGCACAAAACAGAGTTGTGTTCACTGGAAGAATCTGTGTCAACACAGGGTGTATTTTTACAGACAAAAAAGAGGCACCTGCACCTGCTTTTACTGAGTATCCAAAATTGGGGGGTGTCTTATGGGAATTCTGGTGGGTTTTAGCTTCTGGTGGGTTATTTTTTGATTATTTCTTCAGAGTTTCCCAAGCATAACCCCTTATTTATATAATAAAAACCTCCAAAGCAGGGAGAACAGCATCACTTTTAAACCCACAAAGGCCACATCTGGGAGACCAACGAGTTAATCTGAGGTCCAAACCCCCACTTTTGGCCTACAAACCCACACTTCAAAATTCCAAGGTTGATGATTTTAAAATTCAAAGCCCAGAGGGCCCAGAGCATTATTTTTAAGAGTCTGACCAGGGAGGTTGGTGGCACTGTGATGTCACACTGAGTCTGTGACACATGGGGACAGAAAGGGCTGTGGGGTGGTGGCATCTGCACTCTGGAGGACACAATCCACAGGGTGACCACCTCTGGCACTGAGAACATGGCTGTGGCCACTCAGGATCAAACTGGCAATGTGAGCCAGACCAAGATGGATTTTTGGGATGGGATGGAGTCTGTCTTCATGATGCCCAACATCACCCCCACAGGTACAGGCACTGCAGGGGCATCACCAGGACCCACCTTCCCAGCCCTGAGGATATCTGGGGACAGCAGGACACACACACACCTGGATATTAAAATTCTTAGAAATGCTGAATTAAGGTGCAAGTGAGCCCAGATGCCAAAGTCAACGATATGGATTTTATTTAACAGTAAACTTGAGGCAGAGAAAGAAAAATAGAAAGGAAAAAAAGAAAAAGCAGAGGGGCAGAAAGAACAGGACAGAGAGAGATTAAGTAGAAAATATATCACTACTCCAGGGCATCTTGTGGTTCTCTTGGTCTTCTGGTCTTCTTGGTGGTGAGGGTCCCACAAAAGAGAGTCCAGTGGATTAAGATCATGAGTTGATGCCCGGGCACCTCCCTTGGGGGTGGGGGGAAGCTTTGCAGTCTCTTGTGACAGGATCTGGGTTTGCTCCATCACTTGGATCTCCTGCAGTCCTCTGGTGGTGGGAAGGCTCAGGAATGAGTCAGGGGGGTCCTTGATGGTTTGTGACCCTTCTCAGCTGCCTCTCACGTGAAAGTCCCGTGTGTGTGTGATCTTCTGGGAGTGGAGTGGTTACTCCTTGGGTTTGGGGTGGAGAGATTTCACCATCACACCCAAACTCTTCTCCTCCACCACCCCATGAGCCTTGTTTCCTTCTCCTCAGGCCTGAGAGAATTGGACAACAGTCTTATCTCAAGTTCTCATCACAGTCCCAATTCCAGCCAGGAAGCACACTGGGGAGGGGGTTTTGCTTTGGGGCTCCCAGACTGGCAGTGGCTTCCTTGCAGATTGACAAACAGGCTTTCCATGACTTTGCCAATGTTTCAGGCATTACCAGCACTTCAGTCCATCCCAAAACCCCACAGCCAGGGGGGTTGGAGGGCTGAGAACCAGCAGGAGCAGAGCACAACTTGGCTTTCCCTTGCTTTCCAGAGCGAAGGGCTGTCTGGAATGCAGTGTCCAGATACGTCCAACGGCAGCTCCTGCAGCACAAGGTGAGACAACCCCCACCTCCTGAACACCCTCCTGGACAAAACCCACCTCCTGAGTACCCTCCCAGACAACATCCACCTCCTGAGCACCCTCCTGGACAACCCCCACCTCCTGAGCACCC